ACAGCAATAGATGATATGGAAAAAAAGACTTATTGATGCTGCTAAATACCCAGTTGTTAAAGATAATAAAATTAAGCAGCGTTGTAAATATTCACTAGAAATTTCAAAAATGATAATTACATATCTAAAATTTAATATAACTATATATGCCTCGGAAAAAAGTTTGGTTTGTTATGTACTAAAACTCTGTGTTGGAAAAAAGGCTAAGGTGATAGTAGTAAGTCGAAATTAGAGCCGAACCCAAAACAACATCAAAACCAAAAAACAAAAAACAACACTCTGAGGAGAATCTTTGGTTTCAGCCTGAAAGATGTTGTTTGTTGGTTTCATTGAGTGTTTTTGTTTTTTGGGGGGTTCATTCATCAAAAAATCAAAAGCACAAGGGTTTTTTTTGTTTTTTGCTTTGGTCTATGCAACCTGGAATCACAAAAAACCAAGAAAACACAAGTTTTTTTGGTTGTTGTATATTTTGTTGAAAAACCAAAAAAGACCTTGTGTTTTTTGTTTTTGGGCATTGGTGATTGTATAGACCAAAGCAAAAACCCAAAAACAGCTTGTGTTTTTTGTTTTTTTGATGAATGAAACCCCAAAAACAACAAACAAACTCAATGAACACCAGAAAACAACATCTTTCAGGCGGAAACCAAAGATTCTCCTCAGAGTTTTTTGTTTTTTGTTTTGGCAGGCAGCCTGTGATTAGTAAATGTACGCAGTCAGCCTACTTTATTGCATATGGAGACTATTCTATATATTATATAATTTCCAAACATATGTGAAATTTATATAAAATATGTGTTTAATGTATATTCACAACCCTTTTTTTTTACTAAGAAAACATGGTGCCCAAAATATGCAATTTTTACTGTAAATATCAGTGAAATATGATTTTGGGTGTTTTCTTCTTTTTTTGTTGGGGGGGTACCATATATATATAATATGTATATATATATATGTGTGTGTGTCCGGGATTCCGAGTATGTGTCCGCAAAAGGGCTGAACAATTAGTGTCAGTGCATGCCCTTGAAAGGCAAAACTGTGGTCGCAAAACGACAGCGATGGCCCATTGCGAAAGGATGCTAGGATTACAACTCCAGTTCCACTAGGTTTTCGACACACCTCACGTGTCACTAGGAGGTAGGTCCTAGATGCTATAGCCAACGTTGAAGAACTTGTTCAATTTATCAAAGTCATTGCTACATGAAAGTGCATGAGGGTGGAAGAAGAAGGCAATGCTGAGTCCACGTTGTTATCAATGACAAGATGTTGATGAGGATAGCGCTTGCGTGATGGTGACGGGGATCGCTTTGGCGTGCGCAGGTGTCGAACGTTAGTGCCCCACCCCACCAGGCGAACAATCACACGAAGAATCCGACCTTGCCTCTTCCTGGCCTGGGCCAAATGCATTTCAGGCACTCTGAAGGCGGGGAATGCCCCAAACAGAAGAAACACGATCCCCGTGGGGTCGAGTCCAGCACAAGATAGTGTTTCTTGTTTTTTGCCGAAGTCATACGGAGCGGCATAATTTGGAACATAGTTCCTGAAGAACGGATTCTCTAATATGTTGTGAGCACAGGAACTTATTTGAAGCAGGGGTGGCGCCTGCAAATAATTTTCTAGGAATAATTGCCAATATTATTTCTACTTGTAGAAAGGGGTAGGTGCTGAGACCGAGGCCCCCAAATCCCAGGGTAAACACAAACATGTCCTATATGTCCTATTTATTGTCCGTCCCTTGAGGCCTTTCCAGCTGCCTCAAGACAGGCCAATCAACCCTGAAAAATGAAAAAGTCAGAAAGATACAAAAACACAGAAATGCAGGAGTAAGACAAAGAACATCAAAGAACACAAAGCACCAAGGCTTAGATTGTGACATTCTCATGACCACGTATCCCACATTATCCCGCAGCTCCGGCTGGGTGCTTGCGTCAAAGCTGTACAATATTTTCCTCGGGGCCAAGTTCAACAGCACAAGCATTGGCTAAAAGGGTAGGAGCACAGGAAACTATTTCACACAGCTTGGGCCGCATTTCCCGGAAGACGCCCACTCAGAGAAGACCCCCCCAAGAAATCTCATTCATCATGATCATCATCTCAAATCCATCCTGGTCCTCAAGCCTCCTCAAAGACCTTCCAATACAATCGGGATACACAAAAGCTTTCCCCTGCCCTATTTGGACTCTATTTTCCATTCCTTGAGGCCAATCACCGCCGAAAAACTAGAAACATTGGAAAGAAGGCATGGAGGAGGAAGTGGACCGGAGGTTGGTTGCTTTTTCGACCGGCGATTTTGTCAAGGGGGATCAAAGGGATCGACTAAGCCCACCAGTTCAGTTGCCACTCTGAAGGGCAAGCCTTTGCCGTAAACGAGAACGTTTGCAAGGGAAGACTGTAACTTGTAACAAGGCTTTGGCGTGACTTCTTTCGAGTACGGCAGCAATCAGCTTGCAAATGGCCCGCATCTCTCATCTCTTCTGGGTGCAGGATTGTGTTCTCACCGATCGACGTTTTTGGGACGCATCAAGATCACACTTCTTCTGAATCTGCGTGCGCTTCAGTTCAACAAGTCACGAAAGCTAGCTGTAGCTAGCTGGAGTCTGTCTTGCTTTAGCAAGGAGGGTGGGAGCCCAGGACCTGAGTGCTGTTACCTGATATATCAGGACTATATCCCCCCCCCCCTCGCGGGGTTCAACTCCACCCTTCTCCTCCTCGGTACCTGCTGCTGCTGCTGCTGCTTGGTCGCTGCTGCTGCTGCTGGCATCTCATCTGCGCCTGGCTCTTGGCTGCTTGCTGGTTGCTGCTGCTTGCCTTGCTGCTTGCATGCTTGGTGCTGCTGGATGCTCTTGGCTTCTTTGCTGGTTGCTGCTGCTTGCTGCTTGCATGCTTGCTGCTGCTGGATGCTGGCTGCCTGCTGCTTGTTGTTTGCTCCGTTTTGCTGCTGTTGCTGTTTGGGGTTGTTGGCTGCTGTTGGTGCTGAAGAAAGCCTATTCGTTAGAATCGAGAGTAGTTGCATTCCCTCTGGGTCGTGAAACGATGCTAATTTCATTATATCCTTAAGAAGATTGTACCGGCATGTACCCACCCCACAACCCCCAAGAGTACAAATCAGAATGCACTATCCGCTATCCATGCAGATAAAAAGATGATACTTACTACACACATGAATGACAGAACCCAGTAAGATGTTTGAACGGGCTGTTTGCTTCACTCATGGTAGTCCGCGTTCCATGTTCGAGCGACAGGGAGCATGCACAAGCGTTGCGACGGAGTCTTCGGTCGCTGACACATGTTCGCATGCAACCCCTAGATGTCAATCATGCACACCGCTGCTGGCTGCATCGTCAGCATTTATTCGTGGAAAAAACAAATATATCAGATATATCTGTCTTTCCACGTCGCCCTTCTACAACTACTCAGGCAGCACCTATACGTGCTACGAGACCAAATGTTGGGGCACGAAAGACTCTAAGGAAAGCTCACTCTTTCCCTGCTGCTGCTGCTGCTGCTGCTTGGTAGCTGGTGGTGCTGCTTGGTAGCTGCTGTTGATGCTGCTGCTGCTTGGTAGCTGCTGCTGCTGCTGCTTGGTAGCTGCTTCTGCTGCTTGGTGCTTGGTAGCTGCTCCTGCTGCTGTTGATGCTGCTGCTGCTGCTTGGTAGCTGCTGCTGATGCTGCTGCTGCTGGCTGCTGCTGCTGCTTGGTAGCTGCTGAGATCGTTTGCAGGTGCAGGCCTGCAAGTGGTTTCGAACGTTAGCATACCCCACCCCAACCCCACCCATGCTGATGGTGATGAGGATCGCACTGTGCACTATATAAGTGGCTTCGCATGTTAGCATGCCCCAACCCACCCCACACCACCCATGAATAGTGCTGTTGCTGGAGGTGGCCCAGGAAAATAGCTCAGGGATGTTCAGCCCGAGTTGAATGGCAGTCAGCCTGACTCAGGACATCATAGGAGAATGTTGTGAATTCAGAATTCATGTCAATCATTCCTCAAGGGAAGAAGTCCAATTCCAAAACTGGACTAGGTTCCACAACCTGGTTTCCGAAGCTGGAGTTCCGAAGCTTGGTGCGTTCCAAATTCCGACACTGCGTTTCCGAAACTTTCTGGAGGGACCGGGGCAATGTCATTCTTTGCATGTTCCGACTCAAGTTTCAGAATTGCACTGGAAGCACGCTTATCAACCACAGACTGGGCAGGGTCAGCAATCCTGTGAATCATGTGCCTGGTGGATTTGCTGAGGTACTTTGCTGGGTGTGGTGGGTTGCTCGTGTCGCCTCTTTTGCAACACTTTTTTCAATGGAGTCCTGTCTTTGGATGATGTATATAGTGCCCACAAGTGTGATAGTTGTTCCGTTTGCTTACTATGCTTACAAGCTCGGGATCAGGGCCTGCGTGAAAATCGCGCATGGCACCTACCTGCTGCAACACACAAAAGGTTTTTGAAACACGGCCCAACAAAGCACATGATGCACTGTTCTGAATGTAATTGGCCTCAACTCCTTCGCTCACTGATAGCACAACACTGCATACAAAAGGTCTACCAAAGGTCAACCGTACTGTATGCAAAAAGTCGGCCCACCACTGACCTTGCCTGGGAAGGCATGATCATGAACACTATGTATACGGATACGTAGTCCACATGTCCCATCGTGTTTCTTTCTCAGCGTCCAGAAGATCAGCCTCCAGCAGCCATGAGCCAACTATTGGTGGAAGATAGCAGATTCGGGCCCCGGCGAGTGCTACTCCAGCTCCGGCCTGTCTGGCACATATTTTTGCCATATTCGCTGCTGAGCATTTTGCAGCCTGGTTTGCAATACTCAATACTGCATATTATCGTTCAAACCGCTATACGTAGATGGGGTTTATATCTAAAGCTGCCAGTTTTTTTTGGAGTACTGTATGCAAGGCCAAAAAACGGGAGGCTCAGGCTTCGGTCGGGCTTTCGAGGGGCTTATTGAGGTTCATGTTGGCGGTGCAGCTTTACGGCCCGTTCCTGCGGTCCATGGTGAAGTGTGCTGCCAAGCTACAGCCAGGCGCCTTTACAGGATCAGCTCACTGCGGAGACAGCAACCTGGTTCTATTTGTCGCACAGGCACGTGAAGGCTGGATGCATGTTGTAGTATTTGTAGTTTTGGAGCATTTGTTTGCTTCGGTTTGCTGATGATTTGGGGTGTATGTATGTAGGCCTGTCAAGAGTGTTCAACCATAGATTACTTCCACTTACTACATTGCCCGTAGAGTGAGAATCGGAGCTCCCCAAAGAACGTCAAATATCACGAAAGCTACAGGAGCTCCTGCTGCCTTTTTAAAGCAATTAGACCCTCCCTCGCGGGCTCAACTCCACCACCTGGGTCCGTTCTTACTGGTAGGGGGCCCGAGTATCACTTTGTCAGTCCAAAACACTGTCCAAACCCTGTTGGCATCACGGACAACGTAAAAGTGGACTAGCATCCTTTCACCCATAATCACAAACTGTAGAATTTACATTTATCCAGGAACCACTTCACCAACGGCAACATACTGCATCACCACCCCTAAAGGAGACACGTCACCACCCGTGCTTCGACTTTACCAATCAGTGAGTAAAATACTTCATTTTGGCAAATTACAGTACCCCCCCCCAATGTAAGGTGCCGATTCAGCGGTAGAAGCGCGCCACCGCAGCACCACCGCAGCGCAAAGGCATAAACTTATCAATACTCAGGTGCATCATGCTATTGCTCCAATAATGCCACTGGATTCTATTCAACTTTCACGCCCCTCGCCACCAAGCATTGTTTGGTTTAATGTTGCATTTGGTGCGCTGCTAAGATGTCATGTTTCACTTCGTCAGGGGCTTTCTCAGATTCTTTGGGGTTTCACAGAACTTGTGTATACAGTGTTTTTCTTATGCTGCTGCATAGAAATCACCAGACCAGCAGCAAGAACCTACCTACCGCATCCCACCAAATTGCAAGAGGTGAAGACATACCACTGCGCAAGCGTCAACCAGCACCAATTCACCAGCCTTCAGAAACCAATAAATACTTGACAACAAAGTCCGCCACCACATCGCTGGCAGTTGACGCGTCCACATTCAGCACTATATATGCCATTGTACTGGTCTACAATGTCACCAATTCCACCTCCGGTACTATGGCTATGGTAGATAGAATTGCAGCAAACACCTGTGCTTCGGCAGCATGCCTTCGTTTATATAGATATTTGTAGATGTTTGTCGTAGTATTGTTTTTGCTGGTAGCTGTGGGTAGTGACATCAATGAATCAAGACCAGCAGCGAGCGAAGAGAGCATAGTAGCAAAGCATAGTAGCAAGCGGGCACATTTACAGTAGCAGTGCAGTCTAAGTGTTCTTCTTCGGTTTTCCGCAGGTCGCCTGGTAGCCTTGAAGCTGTTGGTACATGCTTTTGCGGGGCCCGTCTTGGCACTCTTGGCTGACAGTGTCGGACGAAGGCCTGTGCTTCTTTTGGGTCTTGGAGGCAAGGAGCAAAGCAAGGACCAAATTCCGACTACAATGTTTGAACTGCTTTAAACATGTTGCCAAAACTGTTTTTACGGTCACGGCCAACCCCTGAGGCTTTACTGTGGCGTTTGGTCTTTTTGCAAGTGTGGCAGGGCTACCAGTGATTCATGGCTCTCAAAGCGTCATGTGTATGTCCTTCATTGTTGAAGGATGCACCAGTGCGTTTGATGTTGTTTTTCTTTCGGTCCTAGCAGACCTCGCAAAGTCAACTACAGACCGCGTCACTTGCTTCTCTGTGCTCTACGGAGTGGGCGCCTTTGGTCACGCAATAGCATTGTGCTTTGCTGCGCGAATTCTTAGATGGGAGCTTAAAAACTATGCACCAGTGTGGGTCGCCATGACCATGGGAATGGCGGGTGTGACGATGCTGGTTTTGCTGTGTATCCCGGAGAGCCTTCCATCGGCACAGGCCAAGTTGCGGCCACAAAAGCTGACTCTGTCGAAAGTTATGACCAGCACTGCTGTGCAAATGAGATTCTTGATCTCTAACCGCTTCTTGCAGATTTGGTTGACGGCAGTGCTGTTCAAGTCATTGGCAGCTGGCCTTGGAAGTATTTATGCATCATTTACCTTGGCAGCGTATGCTTGGAAGCCTGGGGATTGGCAGGCGGCCACTTGGCCTTTCGAAATGATCTCCATGGGAAGTCTCAGCTTGCTTGGACCATTAGCAGCCCGCAAGCGCCCTGAGTCTGTGATTTCCTTCACTTCTATTGCAGGTTTGGGGGGCCACAAAGCAGTAGGAGTGAAGTGGGAGTACGAGTGGGATTAGTAAGGAGAGTCGGGGCCTTGAAACTGAAGTGGTTCCAAGACGTACTGCAAGAGAATCAGTTAGAATTAGAAAGAAGCAACTGCATTTGATGGGAAAGTTCTTGACATATCTTGACCCTGTCAGGAATCCTGACCCATGGTTGTCAAATCCTGGCTCCATTTTCTGCCCTGGCACTAGTGGGTCCACACCTGTTTTCTGGCCTCTTGGCTTTTGCACGGCCTGTGTCTGCTGCGTTTTTGAGCAGTATCTGGGAACAAGTTTGGAGTTGTATATTTTGCATGTGTCGCATTAGCGGTTTGTTGCATGTTCTTTTTTGCAGAGAAGGTTGGGCTGTATATATTATATAATAATTATGTTTGCTGACCCAGGTATGTTTCCAGCTTCGCAACAGGCGAAAGTCCAAGCATTGGCACATTTGGTTCATGACTGCGGCATCTCAGTGTCGATGGCCACCTTCTCTGGGCCTTGGCTCTTCCGACCGCACCTCCAGGGCTGGGATGCTGCACGCCCCTTCCTGCACAAACCTCAGAGCTGATATTTCCAATCAGAGATGACGAAGAGAGTGAAAGGAGTTTGAAGAGTATTCTTGGTGTTTTGCAGCTCTATGAGGGTCTGCAAGCAAACAAACATGCAACCCACATGATGCGCAACCTGGTCTGAAATCACGGGATAAACTCCAGTTTGGAGAGACACTGATCATATTTACCTGAAGGTGTGTTGTCGACTCTACAAAGGGGAAGCACATGGAAGTACACAGTGTCGTCACAAAGCCACTAAGCTCAGTGAGTCGATTGGTTTGAAGGGCCTGGCCTTGCATCATGAAGCCATGTACCAGACGCTCTCGGGTGTTCCAGTGCTCCAGGCCAGGTCGATCTTCGAAAGCGTTTATCGGCATCAGCTTTGTTCTAGATCGCAAAGCGTTGCATTTTGTCTTTTCTCACCAATCCGTATTCTATGCCGCATGCACGTGTGCAGCCGCAGAGCCTTCAGGTGCGTGGCAGTGCTCCTTGCATGGCAACTGGCTTATGTGGCGTTTCTGGGCCCAAGCACACCTGAAGGTCCGCATGGAGATTGTGAATGTGCAATATTGCTATTAGGTTGAAGGCCATCGCTAGTAGGTCGGAGGCCTTCCCTCTTAGGTTGGAGGCCATTCCTATTAGGATGGAGGCCAACGCTATTAGGTTAGTGCGTTAATTGTTTGATGTTGGATCCCTTTTCATACCTTGTTCATCCTTGTTCTTCAAAGTGTGGTCGAACCCGATGCAGCATAGAATTGAGAGTGAACGTGGTTTGGGGCTTGAGGCTGGCCTCGAGGAACTGATGTGAATTTTAGCTCCATACTACTTGTACTGGTCACAAGAATGCTCCTTGAGCAAAAGCCCTTATCAAAACACAATTGGAGATTCAATGACATTCATAGATTCATAGGACTGTAAATCAAAACTATGAAGTATATATCAAGTGCCAGGTCAGCCTCATCAAAGTTTTTTGTCCGAATGTGGCCGGCGAAAGATCTTGAATTCTGGTGCTTTTGGTGCTTGGATGTTATTGACTTTTCCAGCGCATGCGACTTTTGAGAACGCGCCGCTTGGCTGCCTTGCTTGCTCCAGCTTTGACAGCTACCCCCAAAAGACGTATCATATTGTGTCATGAGTCATGACAGTTCTTTCCATGAGCTGGAGCTCGCATGCGGTGTGGCAACTTGGGGTAGTTCACAACAGATTCTAATGATTCTGGAACTTTAACTTCTCAGACAGAACATGTTTTTGAGCACTCTGTTGAACCAACTGATGTTGAATGGTGCCCCGCATGAATCGCTGTGAGTTTTGTCAGTGCTATTGTCCAGCCTCTGGCTATAGTTGTTCTTGTTCTCGTAACTACTTAGGTTGCCAGAAGTTGTAAAGTTCTCGGAGAGAAGAAGTCCAGGCAAACAGCCTGATGATCTGGGTTTGAAGGAGCGCACGCTGATGCTCGGCGTAGGCAGATTGTGAAGCTACTGTATATATTTTCGAACTGTTCTTTGTTTGATTGCTTGCTTAGACTGCTGGCTCGCTTTCTTTGTCAGGAACCGCTTTGGTGACAAATCTGATGGTGCAGTGCTGAAAGGATGTGGATATGGCCCCAATTGCTTTTCAACTACCGGAGATCCGGAGGCTTCTTTGCAAGGAAAACACTTCAGAGGTCATGATGTAAAGATGAGCATCCGATTTAAGTACTGTGTATAGACTGTAGAGAGGTGGGCATGATGTGAGTAGAAGTTGCAGACCACCTGCGAAACAGCGATGGCTACCTAGCATTTGATAGCCAAGAGTGCTTTGGCTAGGTTAGGGCAAGTGTTGCACGCTAGGTGAGGCAGCAACTACATAGGAATATTGCTTGACTCGAGGGCAGTGCATTAGAGGGAACTTCACCGAGCCAGTCGATGTGAGCGATCCGGGATGTATATATATATATATGGTTTCTACTAGCTTCTTGTTCCTAATAGTAAGGCCCTTGCTCCTAGTAGCGATGCACTTGTTCCGAGTAGCTTATTGTTTCTATTTATATATAAATAGGTACAGATACAGAGATAGATTCCCGTTTTGATCTGCCAGGACCCTCAGATCACCACCTTGCTCCAGCCTTGGCGTGTCCCTGAAGGCCTTAGTGTGACAGATGCCTCCGCGCAGCTTGAAGAAGTGCTCCGGGCATATCCGCCAGGCACAGCCAGCGCTTTTTGCAATTTGTTGCACAAGTCTTCAAGAGGTGAGCAGATGTTGGGTGTTGAGGCCCAGAAGAACACCCAATGAAGAAGAAGTGCACATTTTGTCTTCCAGGTGTTTTTGTTCCCTTTCTTTGACGATCACTTTAGCTTTGTAGTTGACTCAGAACTCATGAATTGTTCAAAGCCCAGCAAGTGACCTCTATGGTTTCGGCCCCACGAGCAGCCTACAATTGTTGCAGCCACAGCTCTTGCTATTAACATGTATTAACGCTGTTGCGCAGATACCTAGAGCAGGCAAATCGTTGTGTTGTCGTTGGAATTTGGTGCACGAACACTGTATTGAGTTATAGTCATGGAGGCTTGTGTTTACACACTCAGTTTGAGTGAAAAACTGTTTGTCCCTGTCAGGTTTTGCCGATGAACAAATATGTTTAAAGCTGCAACCACACAACTGTTGCAAGAAATGTTGCAAGAACGGGAACAAGACCACCAACCAGACGAATGAGACCATGAAATGTCGAACAAAATCAACAAGTTCAACCAGTAGCAAGAGGTGCAGCATTTGAGACAACCAAAGCAACGACAAAGACAACAGGCGCACAGAATTTGGAGGTCACAGGCACAGGTGGTGTTCTTTGGGCTTCTGGGGCGGGGATGGTTTGAAGATAATTGATGAACAGTGTAAGACCACATTGTGTTTCAACTGTCTTGGAGAACGAACCCTTTTCCCATGTTCGACAGCTCCGGCCATTTTTGCCGCCCAGTGTGATGTAGGCCAGCAAAACGTGGACGGTGGCGGCTTCCAGATTGTGAAATCCGGGCCCGACGGATATTGCTATGCGCAATTTGAAAGCCTCAAGAATCTAGGCTTGACTAATGCAACTCAAGTGAGGGAATATTGACGTGCAACCAAGCCAGAACCTACAAGAGTCCATTGTGAAGTCACGCAAAGTAGACTGACATAGAACCAGAAAACAGAGCTCCATGACAATACCGGGGTGTAAGAAGAGCTCAATCAATATCAATCAGTCTCAATTCTCAGACAAAGCGCGTGCCCCTGTCAGAACCGGAGTCCAGATTCATATGCATACTTCCCACAAGTCCTATTTCCGTGCCCCTTTGGTGGCTGAGCACCATCCATGTGACGTTCTGGGAAAAACACGGCCATCAATATTTAGTGCACACCGGGGGTGTCATTAACTTCACTCAATGTGTTCTGTCACCAGTCACACATGACATTCAACACTAAGGAAGGGCAAAATTGATGATGTAGAGTTTGCCATCGGCAAGGCTTGTGTGGCACAGATGGGAAGATTTTGCATACCTTGAACTCAGTAATTCTCCGCAGCCTTAGCAGTCGCTTACATCAACTGTCAGTTGGGCTTTCTCAATTGCAATATCGTCAACCCATTACTTTCTTGATTGTATTGCCGTGTAGGATGGCAATGTGCAAGTCCGATCTTCTGGGCGCATTGGCTTGAAGGCAGACTTTGGTTCCAATGCACTTTGGTGCACAAATGGTAGCAAGTGAAGGGAGAAGCATGCAGAACCATTGATTCCAGACTTACTGTAGCCAGAACAGCAAGTTATACAACAGCGTCGCCTAGATTGAAACTCTTGCCACTGGTGCTCGTGCATACGAATGAGTTTGTTTTTGACAGCTGTATACGGGCTGTTCGAAGTCAGAGTGAGCGAGTAAGGCCAAACGGTTGAATTGCATTTCAGAGTGCCTGGACATGCACTTTGCACTTGACACTGGCATGACACTGCTTTAGAATGCGGCACAAGTAGCAACTACAAAATAGGAACATTAACTTTAAATCGTAGTGTGGCAGAATAGTTTATCAATCTGACCCACCATGGGGCCGAAGGGCTGGCAACGCGTTTGTTCGATCAATGTCAAAGTTGAGCGAACACTAGTTGAACCATGTTAAACCCATCACGCAGCTTTTACACTTGAAGCTCAGCCCCGTGTAAGGAAACTTCGGCAGAAGGGTTGGACTGCTCCTGAAATCACGAGCCGTGGCATGCCATGACTTTTCATGTTTGTGACGTCAGAGTCTAAGCTATTGTTGTATAATGCTTTCTCACTGGGTTGCTTGCACCCTAATCGGCTTGTTTTGCGCTGTGGAACCAAGGAAAATCACGCACTCGTACTACTTCGCCATGAACTCGGGCAAGACCAAGGCGATTTGTTCTTTTATATAAGAACTATTGCATCAGTCCGTTGTATGTAGAGGTGCAGTGCGTTGGCATTGATTGCCCGGTAAACTACGAAACTTGGTTTTGAAGTTGTTGTTTTTTGCTCCATTAGTTGTTGCCATACGGGAGGGTTTTGCCTGAATTAATTTTGGCTGCTTTCTTACTGCTGTGTCAGCGCCAATTGCTAAGCTGAGGAGCTGATCGAAGAGGCACTGTTGTGTCAGTGGAATGGGCTCGGGAAACCTGAGCTCACCTGTTTGCTTTTTGCAAGAGGCCTCCTTGCAATTGCAAAAGCAAGACAAAGAAAACAACAAGTGCAATCAAGTGTACACCCATTCCTGGGAGGAGCCTGGTCCTGGAGACAGTGACTGAGAGGGCGGAGCGTTTTGAAACCGCCCTGGGCACCAAGGTCACGAAGGCCATGCTTCTCCTCTCCTCCCCCTTACGATAGCCGTTGTCGTTTACTAATTGGGGGCCCCCAAAATCGGGGCACCCGCAAAGATGGAAACCTGGAAAGAGCTTCAAAACCGGGCAGTTGCCTAGGAAAGTGTTATATAAAATCCTTTTTTAAGCTCGCAGGAAGACAAAAGAAAAACCAACATCCAGATTGAAGGGCACCCTTTTCCCTTTACAAAAAGCCTTTATTAAAACAGCTAAAGATTTCAAAGGGTGATGTCGCTGTGCCATGCGGTCTTTCGCGGCCTCGGCGGAAAGTGCGTTTGCGTAGCTCCCTGCCATTGGGGAAGGGTGCACATGCTGTGTAAATGGTGCGTGTTGCTAGTAAAAGGCATGGTTGGTGGTGATTCTAAATGAGAGGAGAGCGCTGTGACAAGTTTTCTTATTTGTTCTGCGCAAAACTACCTATGTTTGTATATAGTTTGGTGGTAGTTTATTAAGAATGCAGAAATGTATCTTTAAAGTTAAAGCAAAGATGGGCTGCACTAAGGGGTCTCCGACATGAGTCTTGAACTAGGTGGTGTTGTGGGTCGTGATGCTCGGGACTATTTTGGACCTTTAAGAGTCAGGTGGCGCTCCTTTGTTTAATCTCCCTATTGATACTTCTTTATTTACAGAAACATAGTTAGTTGCTTGTCAAAAATGCTTTTGCACAACATTATTTTCTGGACATTAGCCAGGCATTGGAGGTCCTGCACTCAACCGAATTAAGCGCAGTGAACACCTGATTGGCACCACCACCAACAAACATGTTGCAAGGATAGCTTGAACTATTGAACTGTGTTTCAAGCACGTCCACCAATGTAAGCAGGTTTCTGTTGGCCAAGGCCAAGACCAAACTTGAAACCTCCCTGATCCCAGGTGCACCTTTGACAATAGTGGGCAGCATTTAATGATAGAGTGGCCGCGTCTCCGAATGGGACCGCGACACAGACTGGGCACCTGCAAAGGACGCGGCCGGGCCCGCATCAGGCCCCAGCTGTCAGCGGCAAGAAAAGGGTCGTAAGCAGTAACTTAAGGGTTCCTTTAAAAGGGACCCTGTATGAAAGGCGCCCTCCTTCACAGCCTTTCCTTTGTTCATCTCTTCAACTTCCACATGTGTGTTTGGTCGATGTGCCGCTGTGCAACCATCGGTCTTGTGGCTGCAATCAATGCCTGAGGTTCGCCGGTCTTTTGGCTGCTCTTGGTAACAGCATGAAGCTGCTGCTAGCGGGGGCCTTATGGTTTTGACAGGCAAGCTGCTTCGGAGGATTATATAGGTAGAACCGATCAGCACGATCTTGTATAAATAACATGATGTCTCAATGTCGCAATTATCTACTCAGACTCACTCACCACAAGTGAGCTCACTCATGTTCATGCACATGCAACTACTTTGGAGTAGACAGAATATGAACCAATCCATAAACATTACCATGTTTCGTTCGATGGATGTTTGTTTCTTCATATTCTATCTACTCCAGGATGGCTATGTGGCTATGTATTGAACAGATATGACTCGACTTAACTCAGAAGCAGCAAAATCCTTAATACTTATGCCCATTGAAGCAAACTCGGAAAACCCGGTGGATGTTTGTAACAAGGTGCAGCGAATGCTCAGAACCCAGGCCAGGTCTATCATCGTTGGTACATTGTGGAGCTGACGTTGCTATGTTTGCTTTGTCATGAATGTCCTGCAAAACTTGGCGTCTTTGCAGCTGGTTGTAAAGTCAGACCTGCCCACTCATGGCGATGAGTCATGAGTCAATGAGCACAGACTAGCTGAGTCGATGAGTAGCAAGCCTTTGCAAGCTCATCAAACTTCTCACAGAACTGTCTCGCAACCGATTTTGTTTATATACATTACACCCACAAAACTCTGGCAGCTTCTTCAACAAAGCGTAGGGGTATCCCGCACATTCCTTACAGCCTTACATCTCAAGAAGGGGCCTTGTTCGGCACAAAATGTTGCCTTTGTAATTGTGCGATTTGCACGAGAGCTAGTTTGGGAATGCTTCGGACCTACATTGGATACAAAACATAGTTTAGGTGCTCCCACCCTGCATTTGGTTGCCCTTTTATGCATAGATTTTGGAGCAAGATGCATTGAATAAGCTGCCATGCGCCCAATGTCGTTGCTGTGTGCCACGGTGGCGCTTGCGGGCCGCGGCACAGCATCTCGGTCAGACTGGTGTATGAATTGTTCAGATGCACCTTAGCAGCTTAGCAGGATGGAGGTTCTAACGGTGACTCCTGGGTGCTCCTGGAAGTACAGCAGGTTGTTGGACGGAGCAAAGGTCCTGCATGTCTAGCACTGGAGCTTGCGAAGAAGAAGCAAGTCGCATCAGTGCCCAAGCCGCGAATCAGTGCAAGAAGTGCTTGCTTCTGCATGTGCGTTGAGACTTGTTTGCTTTCTTGAGAAGCTAACAATGTTGCTATGTGCAAGCCGCGCCCCTGCTCCAGGTGTGGCAGTGCGCTGTAGGCCGTTGCCCCGCTGCACTCGTATGACCTGGATGTTTGACTGGATGTTTGTTTGTGTGCGTGTGCGCGTTTGCAAAACTCTGTTTAACACAAGAGGGCCAATATGGACTGGACCATTTGCTAGGATTCTCCGTATTAAAAACAAAACACAGTGACCGCCGCAGCTTTGGTCAGCTGAGGCTGTCAAACAGTGAAAAGAACAATGAGGTCGTTGACATTTGTAGAGTGACTGGGAATACTAAGATCGGCTGGCGGATTTTTCAAGAGAGGTCACTGCCAACTTTACTTTCTTTTGTTTACTTGAATTGCTGCCAACCAAAGCTAGAACTGGTACTCGCACTGCTTGTTCACTGAATAAGGCCCCCTTGGGTGATTGAAGATATCGACACTAGGAACTATCACCCCGCATCACCCTGCCTTGTAATCACCATTGAAGGCAACATCGCCGAGTTTGCAGACTAGAGCACTTTTGCTAAATTGGGTGTACGAGAACATTGGGTTAGCCATGGTTTGCCAATGTGTTTGCTTGTGCCAGGGCCGAGTCAGGGACAAACCAAGACCACACCGATGCCCTTGTGTTGGGCGACATGAGGCAGACATGCAGCCGCAAAGTGTCGCAGAGACTCTGACCATCTATATACACATTGCATGCTTTGCAAGCAAATCAGAGTGCTGCAGGGCGCAAAGCACGTGTACATGGCATGTAAGAAGTGGTTTTATGCAAAACAAGCTTTTATTCACAGCGCCTCGCGCTCGAAGCCGCCCGCAGGGAGTGTGTGCGTCGGTTTGTCTTCGGTCTGTCTGTCTCGCTCTGTCTGTCTGTCTCAGTCTGTCGGGCGTGTCTGTCTCGGTCTGTCAGTCTGTCTGTCTCAGTCGGGCAGGACAGACGGACGAACATACCCACGATGTCAAACATGCTGTCTTCCCCGGGCTGCATAGCCGGCATCGCGAACAGTTGGTCCGAAGCCATATCAATCCAACAAAACACAGCATTTCCAGAACATCGAAGGCCCCCGAAGCTGAAGCTTGTCAAGCGGATGATTTATCCAGGTTTTTTGCGGTGTGCGCGAGCCTCCACAACGCCTCGGCACCTTCGGTGCGGGCGGATTTGCTGTCCAAACCATGCGCGATGAGGTTCGCAAAAGTACAAATTTTCTTCGCGCAAGATTTATTGAAGCTCTTTTTACGAAAGCCAGCCGATAGGCTAGGCTGGAGTTGTCGATGGGCGAACGAAGTGAGTATTTGGGGGTGTGGGGGGGGTTGCGTAGGGGAACAATTTGGATAGGGCGAACCCAGAGCCTGGTGGGGGAAAAAAGAAGAGGCGGTCCAAAAAACCGTGAAAATGTTGTGTTTTTGGATGTTTTTGGTGTGTTGTGATGTCAGTGTATGTAATCGACGCCGAAGAGTGCAGCACTAGCATCATGAGGGACATGGAAAGTAGTTGGAACTCTTCCAGGAAAGTGAGATGCGCGTCTCCCCACACTGTTTCTTGGGGAGTGGCAGGGACTGCAAGAAACGATGTGACCCGTTGAGGACAGGGGAGGGAACAGATCGCAGTCCGTGACAAGCAAGCAAGGCGGTTCACACCCCTCCCACAACAAGGGGCACCCCCAAGCAACACCGGACCATCGGCCTCTCAGAGCTATCCAGAGTGAAAGGGAACGCAAGACAGAACGTGACTTGTAGCGGACAGGAGAGGGAATAGACGGCAATCAAAAACCTCCGCGTTGCTTGGGGGCCCCTTTTTATGGTGGAGAGGGCTGTTGACTCGACGAAAAAAGGGGCGCCCCTTAGAGGTATTTTGCCCGATGTTAGAGAATCACTTGATCTTGGCAGTAACATCGGTCCATTCACGCCGAGTTGATGAGTCCATCTACAGGACAAGAATAACAAACAGCAGGCAAGCGCCCCTCAGTTCCTTCGGGGCGCCCTTATTCTATATTGAATTCGTCCTTGAACCAAAGCAAAAAGGGCACCCCGCCCAACCTAAGCATTACGCTTTCCATTTCCATCGGCAGTAGACGTCACTGCAATGTCGACTTTCCCCCATGACAACGGTAATCTTTCCCCGCAAGGTAAGCAATCACATGATCTTGGCAGTAATCTTTCCTCGGTCCACTCTTAGCAGCACGCCGACTGTATGAGTCCAGCTACACGACGAGACAAACAAACAACAGGCAAGCGCCCCTTTAGGGGTGCCCTCTTTTGTTTTGAAAACGCACTTTGAGCAAAAAGAAAAGGGTGTCATATCGGCCCGTACTGCGACTTCCCATCCCTGCCTTCTATTTCCTCATGCCTGACAGCAGCTCCAGTGCGTTCTCGAATTCACCCCCGATAACCATATTGATGTCTTCTTGCGGAGGCTGGCTTTCGTCCCCTCCCTTCATTCTCAGGCTTTCATAAGAGGCATAAGAGGTGCATTTTTTGACCAACAAGTGATAAAAATACGAGGCAATCCTCCAGCAGAGCCGATGGGCCCCTGCAGTCACAGACTCTCAATTTGAAACCTCAACTTCTCCTTGCACAGCCCTGACAAATGATCCGCAGCTCTGGCAGGTTATGTGGATGTTTGCGAGTAATTGGCAGGGAAACCACCCGTGAATTCTGAATATGCACGAAACTTCCATTGAATGTGCTGTTAAAGTCCTGTTGCCAAACTTGAGCCCCCGGCCATCTCCGCACTCAAGTGAGCTACCTTTACCCTGTATTTTGGCAATTAACTGGCACAAGGGTTGGGTTGAGTTGTGCGTGCAAGACTCATTCTGTCGCGCACATGCCGCTAGTGACCGCAGAGTAGCTGTCACAACTCTCAATTGTTGTGTCCCTGTTTTGCGTTCACCTTTTCATTTATATAATGAATAGTAGTTCAAAAACATGTCAACTAGACATGTTCTCTAGGAACGTGCTTCGGGATGAGGTTGCAAAAGGTTCGCGAAAGATAGTTTGTCTCGCAATGAGTGCCGGTTCCATCATGAAGGGTTTTTGATAGAATGCAAGAAACTGCACACACATATGTATTGTATATCTATACAGTATTATACAGTATGTGATAATCAAATATACGTATACATTTGTAAACACCAGCCTTATCCTCCGCAGAATCAACCGAGTCAAAAACACATGAACCTGAGGTCATGGACCAGCGCTTGGTCATTTTGCTGGATCCTGGTGCAGCTACATAGCTGAATATCTTCATCAACACATATTTATATAAATATAAATTAAGTTCTAAAAACCTATATTTGACGACTTGAAAGTAAGAGCGATTCCATCCCAATAAGAACTCTGTGGAAAATCAAAACCCAAGGTGCAGAATTGAATGTTGATGACTTGGGTATTAGCAAAAATTTGGGCACCACTTTCAGCAGTCGATCTTACCCGTAGTCGCCCGCAGCGGTTGAGGGCTCCATGTTACGATACAGCTGCCAAGTGGAGAAAACACACTGAAACAGTTGTTTTTCACAACCCTTTTGATGCAAACATCATGTGATTCTGGATTCTTGAGTTTTAGGCATCCACTGACTACCTGCGCCATGACAAGTCGAAGGAGAAGCTTGCCGACTAAAACAGTATTGCCATGGGATTGGAAGAGTTGCAAAACTGCAGTCATAAGCCTTCAGGATGACCCCTATCAAACCGACTGCGGATTGTGGTGAATATTTCCACTTTTTGTACATGGTTTCTCAACACTATCGTCACCCAATCCCTCCTAACATCCAGAAGCAGAAGCGTCATCCGGACGCTGGTCACATTTCCAGAAGTCTGGCAGGAGAAGCGCTTTGCATTTGATCAAGCTTTCGATCCAGAGACGAGCAATCAGCAAATATTTCAAGCCACAACACAACCATTGATAGGCCAGGAACGTTTGATTGGCCATGCAGTTGTGGACACCGCCATAGCGACCATCGCACTGGGACTGGACCTTTGAATTGTGTCCATTTGGTCATGCTGGAGAGCTTCAACAGCTTGTTTGTTGTTTGGATTCAGTCTGGCAAATTCTGATCGCATTGCGAGGTAGCATCCTTCAAGGTCCAGAACTGAGACGTCATGTGAAGTTTTCAATTGCCATAGCTGGCTTCGCTGTTTGTACATGTTTGTACCCAATGTTGCTGGAAGTAATTGCTTGGTCCTTGGGTGCTTCAACAAC